ATTTAACTATGATATGCCTTGATGTTTTTCTCTTTCAGTCTAGTCTATATGGCGTTCGCTGAGCTTCTTGTATATATTCTCTCATTCTTCATTATGCCTGGGAAGTTTTCCTCTGGTAATTCTTCCACAACTTTTTCAGTGCCTTTACTTGCTTCTTCCTGTTTTGGTATTCCCGTGATGTGCATGTTATTTTTCTTGATGGTATAGCACATTATTCTTAGATTTTCTTCTTTTTCCTTCCTTTTTTAGTCTGCTTTTTGCTCTAGCAAATCAGTGGTGACAATTTTGTCTTATATTTCACTGGTTCTTTGTTCCATCTTTTCAACTCTGCTCATGTGTCCCTCCATCATGTTACAGCATCTGAAACATTGGACCTCATATTTTGGATAGTGGTTTCTTGTTTTTCCAGTGCTGCTAATGCCTAGTTTATTTTCTCTACATTGTTCTGGACTGTTGGGTTTGTTTTTTTTTTGTCTGTGTGTGTGATTTTTTTTTAGTTCCTCCTGGTTTGTGCTTGTAGTGTCCTGTAATCCTTCAAGTTTGTCATTCATCCATTGAAAATATTCAATCATTGTTCTTTTAAATTTTGTGTCAGAAAGTTCTATCAGACTTTCTGGCTTCAGGAAATCCATAAATACTGTGTCACCCTTTGGGGGTGATATCTTGCTTTGTGCTTGTATATTGTGTGGGAATCTTGCTTTCTTCGAGACATTGGTATGTTCTTGATCTGAAGATAATGCTCTAGAGATCAGTTGGGTAGCTATCCCACTTGTGTTTTTTCTCTGAATGACTTATTCCAGAGAAACGTCAGTTCAGAGCCTGTGAGAGCAGCCTCTGGTAGGTAAGATAGGTCAAGGTACCCTGGATTAAAGGCAGGTTGATTAACCAGACGTGTACACATATGAGTGGAGCCAAATGGGGTTGCAGTGCTCACAAGGGCAGGTCAACCACTTGGGGGACCTCCCTCAGGCCTCAGCTGTCTGGGTATGCTTACAATTGGGGTCCCTATTCAAATTCCAGCAGTCCATCTCCCACCCAGTGGTTTTCATTCACTGGTCCCTGTCCAGTGGTGCTCACATAGTTGCCCTTGCACAGTGGCTCCTGCCCAGGAAGGCTCCTGGGTCCAAGAGGACTCAACAAGATGAAGTCAAATTCCCACCAGCCCATTTGCCTCTGGCTGGTCTGCAGTGTCCACAAAAGCTCAGCCTACCAGAAACTTCTCTAACAGGGTAAAAAGGGAAGCCACAGACTGGGAAAAAGTTTTTGGTAATGACATGTCAAACAAGGGACCTGTATCTAGAATTTATAAAATACTCGAGCACCACAACAAGATAAAGGAGAATAATCCAGTTGAAAAATGGGCACAGGATATGAACAGACACTTCACCAAGGAAGACATTCAGATGGCCAACAAGCACATGAAGAAATGTTCAAAATCCCTAG